GGGGGGGGCTCTATTGATGTCATTATGAACACTTCTTCTACATTGGTGGTTAAGGTGAACAATTTTATTTCTGATAATTGTTGGGATTAGATAAACTTGTCAATGTTTTTCCTGGCTTTATCATTCAAAAAATTTTGAACCTGCCTCTTAACACTGATTCTAATGATATACTATTATGCAACTTGTCCAAAGATGGGAGTTTTAGATTAAAGGATGCTTGGAATGCTTTTAGAGCTCGAAATGATGCTACAAATATTTTTTCTATGATTTGGCATAAAATTATTCCTTCCACTGTGGCCATTTTTATTTGGAGAATTATATATAAGTTCATTCCTACTGATGATAACTTGATTAAAAAAGGTTTTATTTTACCTTCCAAGTGCCAATGTTGTTATTATGTGGAGATTATACATCATGTTTTTATTTTTGGTCCTTTAGCTACTAAAACTTGGACTTATTTTGAAGATATCTTTAAATTAAATTGTTTCAGTGCTAAATTATCTATTAAAGCTATGCTTAATTCATGTTAGGATACTAGACTTTGTTCATAAAGTCAAAGCTCCTAAGATTCTAAACTTCTTCTTGGAAATGTTTGACAAGTATAGCAATCATTTCTTAGATCCTCTAATTAATAGTTGAAGCATCTTTCCTTAAAGCGAGTTGATGGTATAATCATCTTTTTTTAACATTAGCATCTTGAAGACTGTCCATACAAAATATCTAGGTCAATCTTGAGGACCTAGATCATCTCAATTCTATGATCATCACTAAAGAAACATTTATTATGAGTGTTTTGTGTAACTCATCCTCAAAAGCAAAAACTTCTTCCTCTTCCTCAACATTCTATAGGCCCATACCTTGCTCAACATTATGTTAAAGGACCACTTCAGTGCTAATCACCACATTACTTACATTCTTTAGTTTGTAGGTTCGTAACTGGGTGAGATTTCCTTTAATAGTGTTCTCCCTTCCTCATGTTGGGAATTTAATCGCAAAGTGGTAGTTAGTTATTTTAGCATAGACAATATTGAATAACGACATGACAAACATGACATTGTAAGTGGCAGAGACATCAATGATGATGATTTTGGCCATTACGAAGTATTGCTGGTTACCTTCTGCCTAGTTGAATGGTATAGCAATCACCCCATTTTTCTCCAATCATCCTTCCAAAATGATATATAAGGGTTTAACATTACGGATAAGTTGGGAAGTAAGCAAGTTCATTATGTTAAAAATAGATTTAAAAATATATTTATAAACTCCCTATATCAGTCAGAATACTTTTAATATGATAGTTGTTGATCAACATGGAGATGACAATAAAGTTGTTATGAGAGTTCCCTAGGATAGCTTATTTTCTTTATTGAATGTTATCAAACTGACATCTAATGTTGGAGTGTGCAAGGTAGACATCGAGTTCATCTCCTCAGTAATAGTATCTTTGCATTTGTGTGTGAGTTGAGTCATTCACCACCAATGATTGTGGGTATCACTCTATATTTATGAATCGATCAAGTAAGCATTGGTTCATTTGCTACACCTTTGATATGTAACTTCACTAATCACCAACTTTGCTTAGTAAGCATAAATTTCTTTAGTTTTCTAACCTTGATTAACTTTCCATTAGACTTCGGGGTAGGTGAGAATCCGCCATATTATGTCCATGACCCTTACAAAAAATGTATTGCCATAAGGTTTTATGAGCATGGGTGGTAGCTTTCATTGGCACTGGGTGCCTAAAGAACTTTTTATTTTTAATGAACTCAAGTCACATGACCATTGGCACTCTCAATGGAGTATATGAATGGAATTTAGGTACTACTTCTTTCAGTTATTGGTGACTAGCACAATGAGGCTTCTCCACCTTTGGCACTAGCAATATGGGGATTCTCAAGAGCCTAGGCTGCAGAGGAACTCTCTAGTGAATAGGGTGATGGAGGCCTTGGATGAATTAATTATTTATTTCTCCTCAATATTGATCTCTACTTGTAAGGGCTATGTGGGGGAGAGTTGACAAGAAGGATTTGATCACCTTATTACACCTTATTATACTCCTCTTCCCTTACATGGATGTTGGCCAACTCAAACATCTCACTAAAAACTTTCGACTAATGTAAACCAAGTGTATACTTGAATGGACCCTCACATAATCTATAATTCAAGCTGGCTTGAGTGACTGTTGATTCAAGTTCTATCATATTTTCCATCTCTTATCAAATTTTCGGTGGTTCTCCAAGCACTTTTCTCATGTTTAACAAAGCCTAAGTGTTATTCCTTAGTCGTTGGGCTTTAATGAATTATGTAATAAATATTTTCTTTAATTCAATAAACTATGTGATCATTACCACAGGTAGGCAACCTAAGGGATGGCTTTTTAAGTGTAGTAAAGAAAAGTCAACATTTGAGAGGGTAATATATATCAAACCTAGAGGTCAATAACTCATTGGTCACTATATGATTGGTGGGATTAGTCTTGCCTCAGTAGGACTCTAAATGATACACTTTAATATTTGAAGGTAGCCTCGTCTTTGCAACAACACGACATAAGGCATTTGTGAGCTTGGGCTTTCCTCTTGTGGCCTTCCTAGTTGACAGATTGTATTCGTCATTACTGTTACTGGTGTAACTCTAGTCTGGGATGGGTGTTGATGTCAATACTATTTATGAGCACTTATGGCACTATTCCAAATCAGAAGATCCTTCATAAGCATTGTTTGCTCATAGTCATTACTAGAGGCATCCCAGTGCAATTAGTATTCCCTTCATCAGTTGCTCCTCCATTCATGGTTCATGTTGGATGGTGACTTTGGTGTTATCCATGCTTGCTCAAGATTCATATTGAACCCGCTCCTTCTGTACGACATGTCTTCTTATAAAAGCCATCAATCCACTATCACTGCCTCAATGAGGATGTTTGATTTGCATGTATTTATAGATTATACTTAACCTTACTAGCAGGTCCACTTAGAGAGCGAATGAATCTACTAGAAATAATGTAGAGTAAAAGAAGAAGAGTGGAAAATAATCAGAGATCTTAGGAAAGTAAAAATACCCTACTTGCCAAGGTGACCTCTTAAAAAAGTTTTTGTACTTTAAATAGTGCACATCACCTCTTATTTAAACAATTTTGGGTGCTACCAGAATAGTTACATGAAAAATGTATAAAAATAGATTGTTATATAACTTACATGTACAACATTAAACCATAATCAATACACATGTCTCCCTCCAATTGGTGGGACAGTTAGAACGGAGGATTCATCTACGGGGGACTAAAGGGATATTGAGATAGTGCTAGTATATAGTATATTGAGGAAATTTTCCATAATAACTGTTGCACTGTTGACTTACATAGAGTTAGACATGCACTGTAGGATATGAGCTGTGATTTAGAACCAAGTCTCTGATTATTAAAATAGGGTAGACGAGTAGTATGAGGAAATCATGGTCTTATACGATGGTGAGTGAGTTGGGGGGTAGGGGGACAAGTGGTGGTCCCCAAAGAGAGCCTTTGTTTAGCCAAGCTTAAGCAACGGGCCATAAATCCACAATGAGAGTCGACAATTGTAGTAGCAGCGAGCGACATGGGATTGGCTTGATGCAACACCCTTGCCTTGCCCCATCAGGGGATGACTACCTGGTTCATTCAGCGAGTGTCCAAAGATTGTTCTCTTGAGGGAGAGTGTCTTCCTCATAACTTGGCACTATTTATTAAGGAACCTATGCATGCATTTATACATATATGTGTTTAATATATGTGTTTTAGCCACAATAAACGAAGCTACCATGTATCTCAATGTCCCAATACGCCTAAGCAGTAGTTTAACTTAATGGAAAATCTTTCGGCAAGTTTTGATAAAGATAATCTTTCGAAGTTCTTCATTTACCTTAGCAAAACAGATAGTAAGAAGGTAAACACCGGCATAAGATTCAGAGCTGCCGATGCCACAGTAGCAGATGTGTAATTGATGACAACGCTTTGTAGATTCATATTGATTGGAAATCTATCGAAAATAAAAAACCAAAAGTTATAATATAAAAACTAAAAAATAAATAAATAAATAAATTACCGCTTAAACCTCTCATACCCGAGAAGGGAAAGCATGAAAATTTTGCTAAGCATTTTGAATGACTTCGGAGCATCTGTTTTCCTGGTAAGTCTCATTCAAGCTTTAGAAACTATAAAGAGACAAAGGCCAATGTTTATAAGAAAAGCTATTTACCTTGTAAAGATGATAGCCAATGGTGTTAGAAAAACAGAAGCAACGACTTGTCTATAGAAAACAAAGACAAAGGTGCTCATGCCACGATTAAATGCAGTCTTAGTTAACATATTCATCACTGCCAATAGGAATTGCACAAATATTATTGCAAAGTAAGGCCTCCCCCCTGTCATCCTGTTCGCCATTTGAAGTCTTTCTTACAGACTCAATATTGAAAAACCTAACCTGAAATATAAATATGGAGGGTTTTAGCAGAAGAAAGCTGCTTTAGACAAACCAGCAAGGATGATAACTTCTGAAAATACAAAGTTCGTATGTTATTGGGCAGAGGAAAGTAACTTTAGGTAAATAATTGCAGAAAAGTGGCTTCCACTAACCACGCCATGCATAAAATTACTTTCTTTTTTTTAATTGGATGTTGCATATCGTCAATGAGAAGGGAAAGTAAAGATTATGAATTGACCCCACCCATTGTTAGTATGTGTATTATTCATGGGTAATACGATGTTAGCACCACTAATACCTTAAGAGGATAAATCTAAACTAGTCTATGCATAAACATTATTTAAATATATCAGTAGATGAAATTTTCTTAATCAACCTTTGATTAACCAATCACCAAATCATGGGCAGAGGGAAAAACGCGCGAGTACATAGCATAAAACTACTATAGTTCATGACAATTTCGAGGACAAACTGGAAATAAAATACTTAATAATTACTTTAAAGAATACAGAATTTGGCAACTAAAACCTCCATTGATTTCCCTTGTTCTTCAATTGCATGTACGGGAATTATCCTCCTTCATTTGTGAACCAAATGTAAGAACAAAAGCTTAAAAGCATGTTTTTAAGTTTCCAAAGCGCATAATCACTTAATTAGACTTAAAAGAATTAGGCAAACAAATTAATAATAAGTTAAATGAAAGTACCATAGACTCACTTTTATAACATATTGTGCTTATTAATTATGTGTTTATGTTAATTAAAATGCTAACACGAAATAATCTCAGAAATTTACAGTTGAATTTATATTTATTACTTGATAAGCAATCCATTTTTTAAGTTTATGGTGCCAAAAAATTCTTTATCCCAGTACTTAATAATTTAGTTCAATGCGAATTATGTACAATACGAAGTTGATCAAAAAATTTGCTCACACAAAGTTACGTTTAAGGGACCATCACTAATATCTTAGTCTATTAAGAAGAAAAACTCTGTATGCACAATGTAGGTGTACGTACAAGTGCTTTTACTAAAGATATAATTAAAATGTTGTTGAATAAAATTAGATCTTATCTCAAGTGGTTAACGCTAGTGCACAATTAGTATTGCTAATGTGGACTTCACATAGCTTTAAACTCAATCTTAGGAAATGAAGATAAAGATCATCAAAATGACCATTGTTTTTATTTAACATTGATAATAGCTTTCGGGACATCCTCGAGATTCATGTGTAGCATTAAAACCTTTCCCTAAGATATTATAAAGGTTAGAATTTTTCATGGTTAAGCGCACACAATTCATCAATTTTAAACTTCGTTGGTAAGCTTCCAAGTTATTTTCTCAAGGAAAAAGTAAGAAAAAGTTTAATTATTAGATCATTTATACAGAGATTTTCGAAGCATAATTCTTTCCTAAATGACCAAAGCAATGATACAGAGTATTTTTTAGTTAAATTATTTTTCTATTTTACATTTCTTAATTCTATGAAACTTGCTTTTTTTTTCAATGAAACATACTGTTTTTTTTTCTATGAAATTTACTTTTTTAATAGAAAATATAACAATAAATAAATAAAGAAATTATATAACAATAAATTTGGTAGCTCTTACCTATTCAGGAGAGTATATTAGCGTGATTATTAGAGTAAGAAAATTCCATTTTCTAGAGTGAGAAAATCCCTTTTTTTATTTCTATTATGGCGGGATATGACCGAGGTGTGAAGATATGAATGGGAAGAGAGAAGCAGACGAGAACGATGAAGGAGAAAGAGATGTTTTTATTATATATTTCTACTGTATTACATATATAATGACATATATATAGGCAACTAATACATAGAGACATTTCTGGAAAGCTGACGTGGCAAATATCGTGATGGTGACTTAACATTCCCCCTCAAATTGATCGTTCAAGGATCGAATGGTAGATTTGGAGCAAAGTTCCAGAAATCGATTTATTGGAAGAGTTTTTGTGAGAATGTCAGCAAGCTGATCTGATGAGCCAATGTGAGCGATGCTGATGGTGCCGTTTTGTACATGGTCGCTGATAAAATGATAGTCTATTTCTATATGTTTGGTCCGGGCGTGGAATACCGGATTATGTGCGAGAGCTATCGCTGATATGTTATCACAGTAGATGGTGGTTGGGTTGATCTGTGAGATGCCGAGATCGGAAGCCAGCCGCCGAATCCATATGACATCTGATGTCACAGCCGAGAGTGCTCTGTATTCGGCTTCGGTAGAGGATCTGGCCACGGTTTGTTGCTTCTTGACAGACCAGGAAATCAGGTTTGGTCCTAGAAATGAACAAAAACCTGAGATTGAATTACGATCGGTGGGATTCGCAGCCCAGTCTGCATCTGTGTAGCACCTGAGTTGAAGCGGACCGTGTCGAACTGCAAGGCCGAACTCAACCGTTCCTTTGATGTACCGCATCAGACGTTTGAGTACTTGATAATCGCTATTGCAGGGATGAGGCATCTGTTGGCATATTGCATTTGTAGTGAAAGCAATATCCGGTCTAGTAATAGATAAATATTGAAGAGAGCCAGCGATTTTGCGAAACAGTTGGGGATTGGAGAGGTTGATTGTCTGGATTTGATTGCACCCGAGGTGAAGCGGGGGACGGTGATGGCTTGCAGTCCTCAAATCCTGCAAGGGAAAGAAGATTTTGTGCGTAGTGTGATTGAGAAAGAAAATAGCCGAATTTAGTTTTGATCACCTGTATCCCGAGATACAAAGATATGTCGCCAAGTTGTTTGAGACTGAACTCCGAGCGGAGGCTGTGGAGAATTTCATTCAATTTGACCGTGTTATTGCCGGTGATGAGAATATCATCGACGTAAATGAGAACGATTTCATATTATTGTTTTGAAAGCATATGAGAGATGGGTCTGCTGTGCTGAATCGGAATCCGAGTGTTTGCAAGAAGCTGGTGAGCTTGTGGAACCATTGTCGTGGGGATTGTTTTAAGCCGTAGATGGATTTCCGCAGTTGGTACACATGCTTCGGGTGTAGCTTGTCCTTGAAACCTTTGGGTTGTCGCATATACACCTCGTCTTGAAGATCGCCGTGAAGGAACGCGTTTGAAACGTCCAGCTGTTTGATGGACCAGTTATTGGTTAGAGCAATGGTAATAAGCATTCGGATCGTTACCATTTTGGCGACGGGACTGAATGTCTCGGTAAAATTGACCCTGAATTCTTGTGAGCAGCCTTGTGCTACGAGGCGAGCTTTGTATTGGATTACTTGACCGTCGGGATTAAGCTTCGTCTTGTACGTCCATTTGCTGCCGAGAATGGGCTTGTCTGGCGGAGTTGGAACCAAGTGTCAAGGTGTCCTGTTTTTGCAAGGCCAGGAATTCGGAGGTCATAGCCTCACGCCAGTGTGCATGCTTGACAGCCATATTGTAGGAGGTGGGGGTGGTTTGCACTGAGTCATGAGCGGACAATGTGAATATTTGCTTTGGCTTTGTTATCCCGGAGCGTAGACGAGTTTGCATCGGATGTCGAATGGGTGTGGAGACAATAGAAGAGTCCTGGAGATGGGTATTGTTTGTTATCGGACTGGCTGATTCGATATTTGTTGCGGCCGAGGAGTCGGTGGAATGAGGGATCTGCTGAAGTTGATTGGAAGACGCAGTATCTTTGATAGAACTGATGTGTGGAGTCAAGGTGGAAGTAGGTACCAACAGAAGAGGAGAATTGTTCTGAAACGTGGTGTCTTCGTTGGATGGGGAGACGGTAGCAGTAGTAGCATATGGAAATGTGTTCTCATGGAATACTACGTGCAGCGAAATGTTGAGCTTTTTGTGAGTTATGTCGAAACACCGATAGCCTTTATGTTGAGTGGAGTACCCGTGGAATATGCAGGCGTGAGAATGCGGATCTAATTTGGTACGAGCGTATGGTTTGGTCCAAGGGAAGCATAGACACCCAAACGTTCGCAAGTGACTGTAAGATGCCGGGTTACCATGTAGTAATGTGTATGGGATTTGATCATCAATGGCGGCCGAGGGAAGTCTGTTTATAAGGTAATTTGTCGTAGACACGGCGTCAGCCCAAAAAGAATGTGGCAGTTGGGAGGCGTGAAGCAGAGTTCTGGTCACTTCAAGTAGGTGCCGATGTTTTCTATCTGCGGATCCGTTTTGTTCGGGTGTGTGCGGACAGCTGATTTGATGCGTTATTCCCTGTTGGGCCAAATAGTTTCAGAACACATTGCTGAGGAATTCACCTCCTCCGTCAGTTTGTAGATTTTGAATTCTAGTATTAAAATTAGTTCTGATAAGAGCACAAAAAATTTGAAATTTGGTAAACACTTCATCTTTGGTGACAAGAGGATATAACCAGGTAAATTTCGTGTAATCATCTACAAAAAATGACGTAAAATCTAAAACCATTTAGCGAAGTAGACGGAGCCGGTCCCCATACGTCCGAGTGGACAAGTTGGAACGGTTTATTACAATTTGAACTACTATGAATAAACGGTTGTTTGTGACTTTTAGAGACACTACAAGAAATACAAACAAAATTAAACGAAGATGAAGAAAGATCAGGGATCTGGGAGGCGAGCTTGCGGATCTTGCGGATGCTTGGATGACCGAGACGATCGTGCCAGGAGATCTTGGGCACCTGAACCGTGTGAAGCGCAGCGGCTTTATGTTTGGTAGGGACCTTGATGCGGTAGAGACCATTGCGAATTGGGCCCCTGAGAAGAACTTGATTGTCCTGAAGAATCTTAATAACAAATTCGTTAGCGGTAAAGGAAATTGAAATGTTATTGTCGGATGTTAATCGTGATACGGATAAAAGATTGTGAGAAATTGACAGAACGTGAAGTATATTTTTTAGATTAAGCTTACTGTTGGACTCGGGTAAGGGTAGAAGGCCTTGGCCCGAGTTCTGTATGGATAGATTACTTCCGTTGGCGACCGAAATCGTATCAAAGCCGTTGTAGGGTGTGGATTGTTGAAGATTGCTGTTGTCGGAGGTTAGATGGGACGATGCT